GGGGGGACCTCCCTCCGTACGATGTGTATAGTGGTCCAAACAGTGCTTCTGCGTGTCCAAATTTTACCACCTTAGGGGGGGTGTTGTTTGCCGCTGGAAAAGATGTTCCCCCAGTGGGAGGGGGTTGGGAGGGGGGGGGGGGGAGGGGGGCCCCTTGAATGTGGCGGGGGGGGGGGGCAAAGTGAAATAATGATTCATGTCAATTGTAGCAACATGGTCAAGTGTAACAATATTGTGACTGCTTGAGAAGTGAATAAAATGTGCTAAACAGTTCACCTAAACTGCATGGCAAATTAGTGCAGCTACTTCAAAGCTTGACAATGCAATTTGATCTTGTGTGCGGTAACTTGTAATTCATTTTAATTCATTTTTATTGAAGTAGCCATTTGTGAGGGGTAAAAAAGTCAGGTTCTTGCCTTTTCACATACATATTTTATGACTACTTTATAAAACTGTTTTTTTAAAATTTTTTTCAGGTAAAACACTATTAGCACAAACAATAGCTCGCTGCCTTGATGTGCCATTTACGATATGTGATTGCACTGCCTTGACACAAGCTGGATATGTGGGTGAAGACATAGAATCTGTGATTGCCAAGCTCCTACAGGTTGGTTTAACCAATTTTTATAAAAGGAAAGTCTTAAATTATATCATACCTATAGTTCCACTAAGGCAGGGTCAAAATTAGTCACAGAACCAATAAACACAATCATTTTATCTGGTTTTGGATTACCACTGTGTACTTTGAAAAATAGCTTGTTCACACACCCTCTATTTTCTCTTCAAAGTTCGTCTAGTGCGCCTGATAAAAAAACAAAAACCGCAGGAGATTTATTGACCATCAGTGCAAGGGGGTAGGGGCGGGGGAACTGTGTACAGACTACTTGGAAACCTGTTGGAATTTCTTTTCATGATATTAAGTCACTTCTTTCCAGTTGTAATTTCAACTCTTTTGTTATTTTGCTTTCCTACCTCACTTAACAGGAAGCTGGAAACAATGTTGAAAGAGCACAGCAAGGTAAACTTTTGATTTTTGCCTCCAACTGATTATTATTTTGTAAACATTCTGTAAAATTTTGAAAAGCTCTGTCAAGCTCTGTCGGCTCCATAGAAAATAACTCTAACTTCACGTTGCATTGCTTTCTCAGGGATTGTATTCTTGGATGAAGTTGACAAGATCGGTTGTGTTCCTGGAGTGCATAACTTAAGAGATGTTGGCGGAGAGGGAGTACAGCAGGTAAAACGTTCAGCAAATTCTAATCTCCAAGCTTTTCCCTAATCTCCTTCAAGATCAACCATACCTGTTGCGTGTTAAATACACGAAAAGAGACAAGGGTAAAATCAAATCAAGCCAGCAGCGATGTCAGCTTTAATCGAATGAGTCACCTTAGTAAAATCCCGCCCTTTTATACCCACTTCTCCATGACAGCTAGACCTTTCCTGTGTTCGTGTAAACAAAGGTGCCAAATCAAGACTCGGTTGGACAAAAGACATTGATTTGTATGGAATTGTCCACCGAAATCTCCTAGCAATGACCTCCAACCGAACCAGGCACCCATAACTCTAACTTGCCATGTTGTCAGTCTGTTAATTGTTTCATCATCAATAATTTGAATTAAGTATTGATGATGTTGTTGTTGTTTGAATATTATATAAGCATCGAAATGACTAGAACATGATAAAATTATTTTCCTGCAGATATATGAATACCTAAACAAGTATGTGATAGGTCAAGCACATGCCAAGAAGGTGTTGTCAGTAGCTGTTTATAATCATTACAAGAGACTATCAGTTAACTTGCCACAATCCCAGCAAGCCTCAACACCTGCTGAAGTCAAACCAGTTCCTGTACAAAGACAGTATGCTGGATCACCACAAGGTGCTCACTGCTTCAATTCAAGCATTATTTCATACTTGCATGATACATGTGTATACTTGTTTAATGTGCCATGTCTTCAATCAAAGTGTTTGGTAGTTTTTTGTTTGTTTTGCAAAAGTTTAAACAGGTCAGTAGTGTCCTTCTTGACCACTGTTTCCTTTGAAAACAAAGAGATTTGCATATTGTATGCATGAAATTCAGTTTTCTTCCAGGTCAACTGATCAAATTTATAACATGCAATAATTTGTTTTCATTATTAAAACATAAAACGCTTTTGATCCATGGCATTTTATTCAATGGAAATGAAAACACTTTGAAGGCTTTTGGTTATATTCCATGTTGCTTATTTTGTTCTGTTTTCATTTAGATAAATGTTACAGCTTGGTGTACATGTACATGTATTTATCTTAACTTAAACTGGTGAATGCTTTTCCCTTTTTAAAAGAATTACAGATGCTTATGACACAAACATCCAACCTCAATTCTCCATTGGGAGCTAGTGGTGTTCACTCACCTGCACAATTACGTGAACAAGCTGGAAGTGACATACTAGACTCAGATGTAGAAAAGATTCAACTGGACAAGAGTAACATCCTTCTGTTAGGGCCAACCGGCTCAGGTAAAGAACAAAACATTTTAGTGATGAAAAAAGAAAAAAGACAAATTTTATTAAAGCTCTGTAGTACCTGTTCTGTAGTCAACCTTACTAGCTAAATATCTTAAGACTCCTTCATAGGATTTAAACCTGAGGCAGCGATTTTGTTACCTCTGCGTCTTGCATCCCTGACACATAAAATTCCCAAAGACGCAAAACAATTTGTGGTATGCGTCCCAAAGGATGCAAAGATCGATTGATCAATCGGAAGATGTTTTTGTAGAATTTCCTGTTTGTGTGATTTCTGTGGCTGTTCTGTGTCTTTTGTTTAACGACACATATTTGTTTTAGTAGTTGTTGTGCTTGACCATAGAAGGAGTATAATTATTTTAATTTCTGTAAACTGTAATACAGAGTTTAGGAGTCTCTCTTCAGATTAACTGTTTGGTTACATAAAGACCCAGGGCATTGAACTGGGGCTCAATGGTTCTGGAGTGGGACTCATGATTTTTCTCAACATGAGTTCCAGGACTCACCATAACTGTTTGTAACATAATCACAGCTGTGGCCTCCCAAACCCTAGGTGGGTTTTGTATTCAGTGAGCTATGGGAAATCCTCGAGGGCAAGGCCATAATGAGTAAAACTTGGTTCATGACTGATGTTTGTCAAATGATCATGCTATAGTATATCAGCCACAGGCTCAAAATTTAAAACTCTGTTGAATGCCTCATTAACTCTTTCCAGGAATAAAGGTAGATTGGGAGGGACTGCCTTCCGTACAATGCGTACAGTGTTCCAAACAAGGCCTCTGCTTGTCCAAATTGAATCACCTAACGGTGGTGTTAGTTATCCGCTGGATAGAATGTTCACCCACTGGCAGGAGTTAGGAAGGGGGTAGGGGGCAGGGGTGACCCTTGCATGTGCAGGGGGGGGGGGGAAAGGGGAAAAAAGGATTATGTCCATTGGAGAAAACAGGGGAAAGGGAAAAATATTTTTACCTGCTTGAAAAGGAAAAAAAATGGGATAAAAAGTTAACTTAAATTCAATGCCAAATNTTTGATCTTGTGTGCGGTAACTTGTAATTCATTTTAATTCATTTTTATTGAAGTAGCCATTTGTGAGGGGTAAAAAAGTCAGGTTCTTGCCTTTTCACATACATATTTTATGACTACTTTATAAAACTGTTTTTTTAAAATTTTTTTCAGGTAAAACACTATTAGCACAAACAATAGCTCGCTGCCTTGATGTGCCATTTACGATATGTGATTGCACTGCCTTGACACAAGCTGGATATGTGGGTGAAGACATAGAATCTGTGATTGCCAAGCTCCTACAGGTTGGTTTAACCAATTTTTATAAAAGGAAAGTCTTAAATTATATCATACCTATAGTTCCACTAAGGCAGGGTCAAAATTAGTCACAGAACCAATAAACACAATCATTTTATCTGGTTTTGGATTACCACTGTGTACTTTGAAAAATAGCTTGTTCACACACCCTCTATTTTCTCTTCAAAGTTCGTCTAGTGCGCCTGATAAAAAAACAAAAACCGCAGGAGATTTATTGACCATCAGTGCAAGGGGGTAGGGGCGGGGGAACTGTGTACAGACTACTTGGAAACCTGTTGGAATTTCTTTTCATGATATTAAGTCACTTCTTTCCAGTTGTAATTTCAACTCTTTTGTTATTTTGCTTTCCTACCTCACTTAACAGGAAGCTGGAAACAATGTTGAAAGAGCACAGCAAGGTAAACTTTTGATTTTTGCCTCCAACTGATTATTATTTTGTAAACATTCTGTAAAATTTTGAAAAGCTCTGTCAAGCTCTGTCGGCTCCATAGAAAATAACTCTAACTTCACGTTGCATTGCTTTCTCAGGGATTGTATTCTTGGATGAAGTTGACAAGATCGGTTGTGTTCCTGGAGTGCATAACTTAAGAGATGTTGGCGGAGAGGGAGTACAGCAGGTAAAACGTTCAGCAAATTCTAATCTCCAAGCTTTTCCCTAATCTCCTTCAAGATCAACCATACCTGTTGCGTGTACTAAAACTTGGAACACGAAACATCCCGCAGCACTCTAGGACACGTCAAATTAATAAAACAACATTGGGGAAAAAATATTTCATAGGTTAGGGGTAGGGTTTCTATTTGTCTTTTTCATTTTACTTGTTGTCAGGTTTGCAGCATGAGTGTACCAGAGTGTTGAAGTGTGTTCTGGTGTTCAAGGTCTTAGTACATGCTGCCTGCTTTGAGAAAGGTGTCTATCACTAACATACTTACCTAATACTATTTGGGAAGAGGAAAGGGGCAGGTGGCCTGGGAGAATAGGGATGGAGGGGCACGGAATGCGGAAGATCAGAGAAGAAAGAACGGGAGGTGAGATTTAAAAAATGCAGTAGGCGGAAGAAATAAGGGGAAATTAAACAACTGTGCTTATAAGAATTATCGAAAAAGGGCTTAAGGGAGGAAGCGAGGAAAAGAAGGTGGCTGGGGTTTCGGACCGCCTGTGCCCCCAGTATAGCTCATAGCTTTCGAAAATAATGCAGTCAGTGGAGGAGGTCAAAAATACCTATTCTCAGCGAATTAGAATTACGTAAAACAGCGATTGTTTAAAGAGAGACTTGCTCGTCAGTTATTATACATGGTGCTTCAATTATAATTTCATTACTATTAAGTGCTTATGAATTATGTTAATTTTGTGGTGGTTTAAGAAAATTACTTTGAAGCTCCTTGTTCCATTTGGTCAATGCATTTGCTTTACTTGGATTCTCTTCTCGTGGTTGGCCTCGTTTCACCTAGCTTTTAATTCAACTCTTTTAATGTCTCACTTCAATACGGGTAAATTTTGAAATTACGTATATTATGACTGATGAAATACCTTCTTATCTCAGGGTTTGTTGAAGATTCTTGAAGGTACAGTAGTGAATGTGCCGGAGCGAAATTCACGTAAGGTGCGAGGTGAAAGCGTGGCTGTGGATACTAAAAACATCTTGTTTGTGGCATCTGGAGCCTTTAATGGACTGGACAAAATTATTAAGAGAAGAAATCAGGAGAAGGTACGGTTACAGAAATTCATTAAAGTAACATTAAAGTTATAATCTTGATACACAGCAAAATGCGAGTCTATAATCACTATTTGAGTGGCAATTTTTTGACCAGCCCCACACTGTACGTAGCTGCTATGAGAGAGATACACATGTATAGAGTCACGGTTACGTACGGCAAACAGCAAATGGCAGATTCAAGTTAAGAGTTTCCCGAAATAGAAAATAAGCAGATAAAACAGACAATTTTAAAAACAGTTCTTATGGGTGAAAACTCGAGCTCTGAAGAAAAACAGTTCGAGTTAGCGGGGAATTTGAGTTATCGTGGTAAATCTTAATGAAATTTTGATCAAGGGAATGGAAATTGAGTTTGAGTTGGCGGGGAGTTCGAGTTATCCGATTTCAAGTTATCGAGGTTCTACTGTAATTTAAAACTTATAACTTTTTTTGTAAAAGAACAGTTTAAGACGAGTAAAGGAAAACTTGATCAGGTGGTACGAATTTACTTTTGCCGCATGCCGTTTGCCGTAAACGCGATTCTAAATGTTTCTATTTTCTTTTGCGTCCCCGTGACGTAGAATCTGAATGTACTCCCAACACAAACGGGACTCAGGTTGTATGGGACAAGCGTTGTTGATTGAACGGATCCTTAGACACGTAAGTCCAAAAGGTATCGCTGCACATTTTGCAGAAGTGAATGAAATCATCACCGACTTGTTAAAGGAAGGAAAGCCTGCGAACAGCATTGGTCGAGCATACTCCTTTATTTATGATTGGTACTAGCTTAGTAAATTACATGAGTATTTTGAAGCTTTTGGAATTCTTCCGTTTTTAGCAAAAAGACCTAGAAGAGTGGTAAAGACCGGATACATGTAGACATGAAGACTCCTTTTCTCTTTCCAATATAATTCATTAAACTCGAGGAATGTCTTTCTACAGTATTTTCTTCTTCATGTCGTCCTTTACTCACTAGTCTTTCTTCAATCCAGGTGATTGGTTTTGGGGCTCCAATAAGTGACCGTGGCTCGAAAGAGAAAGAGCTAGACATCTTCAAAAACTCTCAGCCGGACGTTCGCGAAGATAATGCCGAGCGGGACAAGCTGCTTAGCCAGGTAGAAGCACGGGATCTTGTCGAGTTCGGGATGATACCCGAGTTCGTGGGTCGTCTTCCGGTGGTGGTAAGCTTGCACTCCTTGGATGAAGGTTCTCTGGTTAAGATTCTTACCGAGCCTCGAAATGCCTTGGTGCCGCAATATCAAGCGCTGTTCAGCATGGACAAGGTGGGTGATCTCCATACGTAACCTCTCTGTTACGAACTGTCGACCTGGTTCCAAACTTCATACAGTTTCGCCATTTAACTGGGCCGACTGAACTTTTGCAAAGACTTCTGGGTCGGTTACAGGGAAAAAAATTGCGCAACAGCTGACCGGTGTTCCAGTGATATGGGCATCCCCATTCCCAAAACCCTAGTGATATGGGCATCCCCTTCTCATATCACCTTAGCGATTTGGGCTAGAGTTAGGGTTAGATTTACAGGGGATGCCTTTATCGCTAGGATTTTGGGAATGAGGATGCTCAAAACGCGGGGATACCCATATCACTGTGACACCGGTGCGTCCCCAGTAACGATCGCAGGAGTATTTGCGAAAGTTCTCTCGGCCCAATTTCCTTACAGATCCCAAATTTAATCACATACAGTTCTTTTAATACGTACACATCTCTGTTGTGGACAGTTTTATGGGTTCCAGAGATACAAAACTTCATACAGTTGTCCCTGCCTCTATAGTATGGACATATCTCTATCATAGACAGTTTTCTGGGTCCTATAGAGGCACAAAACTTCGTACAGTTCCTCCTTAAGAAATGCCAAACTTCGTACAATGCCTAACTCTACAATACATGTACGAACACAACTCTGTAAGGCAGGCACTTGGCTCTGTCCCTTTGCTGTCCGTAATAAGGTTTTGTCTATAAGCATAGAACATTATAAAAGTAACAGTTCTCGCATCGGCTAGCAACACGTTTTCTAATCTTATGTAATAATGATGATGATGATGATGATGATGATTACGACTGTTCTTCTGTACTCCTCGTATGACAAAAGTACATTTCGTTTGTTTCATTTTCTCGTAAATTGTGCATCATAAAGATATTGTCATGTGATCATAATTATAATATATGGACCCTATAATGAAATATTTCTTTGTCTTTGTTTGTTAGGTTGAGCTGAATCTCAGTCCTGATGCCTTAAAGTTGATTGCCAAGAAAGCTTTGGAAAAGAAGACTGGTGCCCGCGGCTTGAGAGCGATACTGGTATGCACAAAAACAATCAATAGTTATCAGTACAACAAATAATTTAACTTTTGTTTAATACAAGGTGTTTCAAAAGTTCGTTCCGATTGTAAATTGTATTTTGCGCAAAGCATTTAATGCTTCCTTAGGCAAATGTAAGCTGATTCAGGGAGGAGATTTATCTAAATAACCGTTCAATGCAATTTCAAACTAAAATTTGAAGAAATTATGAAATTTTTTAAATTTTTTCCCCAAATGTGCACGTACGCGAATTTTTTCCCGCCATATTTTTCCTGCCCATTTTGTAGGTTTTCTGTTTTCGTTTTTTTGGCGTTTTCTTTTGTTTTCTCTACTCTTTCACGAAAATGAAGGCGTACACTGTTTGTGCTAGAGCTCAGACATCTATTTTTACGGTACTCTGTCCATTTAGTCAAAGAAATTGTCAAATTGTTGAAGAAGTCTGAACGACGAGAGAACAAGTGGTCAAAAGTAAAGACCTTACAAGACAAACCAAGGAGTAGATGGCCGGGTTTTTTTACAAACTGTGTGAAAAATGTTATCGAAAAAGCTTTAAGCATATGCGTAATAATTCAACAAGACTGAAAGGTAAAAAGAAAACTTCAACTTCACAATATCAAAGTTTCGAGCACAACGGTATGGGGATATGTGACCAACAAAGGTTGGAAAGCCTTGAAGAGAAAAAAGGCGGTGCACACTTCATGCAGGCATGGCATCAGAAGAATTTGCAAACTTTATACCAAAGGACGACCGGCCGGCAAAGTCACGTGATGCGAACTCTCCTAGTAACCATCTGGATTATCGTTGATGAGACAACATACAAAGATTCAGCCCCCATAACACTGGACTAGCTAAGACAGCGACCACACTTCACCTGGAAAATTTTGAATTTAGACACGTTATGGGAGCTCGTACATTCTATACCTCACCGCCCAGAAAATGTCAGAAATCATAAAGGACGACATTCTGGCTGCTAATATTTCAGTTAGTCAATGTTAAATGAATAATGAATGACATGCTTAGGTTTACAAAAGTTATCTTTAATAATCATTGAAATTTAAGCGAAGAAAAAAATCGGAACGAACTTTGGAAACACCCTGTAGAAGTGTCAGATGTTATTCGTGTTAATTTTCCAAACGTTTGGCATCTACAATCGGCAACAAACTTAGTTGACACGCTTTCCCCTAAATGGCCTCTCTGACCAACTTAAAAAAGAGGAAAATACAGCTTTTCCTCTCCCACCCACTCCATTCATATTGTGCCGCTCAGTGTTCGAGCTACCTGTAGAAAGCAAAAAAGTTCCCCAACTTTGAATTGAGCGGAGGGGGAGGTGTGTGAATTGTTTTGTTTTCCAAAGTTTTCTCCATTTGAGACAAAGTCTCAACAATTTTGTCGCCGATTGCAGCCCTATATCTATGGGATACAGCAACTGCGGCATCGGGTATCGAATTCGTAATAACGCGGATAGCATTGCTAGACTGGCAAGTCCCAAATTCAAGAATGAAATACATCTCCTGCTGTTATTGCCGTAAAGCAGACGCTATGCATCTAAACGTCATCGATGGTGTGTAGTCAATTGTTATGTCCACGAAGGTGAATGAGAAAACCGAAGCTCTTTAACGAACTTCAACTAAGAACCTTATAATTACATTTTCAAAAATCCATCTCGAACTCGCATGTCTCTTTCTTTCTTACTCATTCGGAACTGAAACGATTAATACTTTCATACACTCCCGTAGTTCCCTTGAAAACCATACCCGATTCCAGACCAAAATGGGCAAAGTGTATACCCGTTTCAGACCAAAAAGGCCCCCAAACCCTAACCGTTGGGGCGGCACATACCTATATGCCTTTTATAAGAGAGTACCCCCCTGGGATTTACGTAAGCCTCCTGGATAAAACTTGCGGAGATTCCAATAGGAATCTAGCCTTTGACCTTTCGATTACTGGCTGCCAGCCTGGAGTTTGGGAGGCTACAGGTACAATTTCTGCAGTGGACGGTAGAATTGTCTGTCAGTCTTTGCCTCACGTTCGTGACTTCAGTGACTTCAGTGACTTTGTGACTTCAGTGAACGTTCTCACCATCGTTCTTTTGTGACGTCGTTTTCTCCCCCATGTTACAGATGTGCAGGAAACTGAGCAAACTTTGGCCGTTTTTTGTCCGGCCCATACGCTATGTTATTGTATTTGAGGCTTGACTTTCTTTTCTCTCTTTTGACATTATTTCTGCTTATTTTAGGAAAACTTACTACTTGAACCCATGTTCGATGCTCCGGGCTCTAACATCCGGGCGGTTTTCGTAGATGAACACGTGGTAGAAGGGAACAAAAAGGCTGAATACGCAATGGCCCCAGAAGAAGATGTTCCAGCGGATGGAACTGAAGGATTTAACGAAGAAGAAGAAAGATATGCTGGAGACGCTTCTTCAAGAGTTTAAAAACAACAACGACAAACAAACAAATGTGTAGATTAATAGAAACTATTATCGGAACCTTTTGTTGCAGCGTTTGTTTTTTTGTCTCTTTTTTTAATTCCACTGGCAAATTGCTTGTGACATGTAAAGAAAATATTTGAACCTGAGGTGATTTTCTGTTACAGAGAGCACAAATAATAGGTTTGGTCTCAAAAGAGATAAACCTACACCTCAAAAGTGACAGTTTTATTCTGGCTGTCCCAGGCTGTTACAACTGACTGTGTATTACTGATTTTACCCCATGTTTAAGACTGTCATCTAAATTCTTAGCTTATTCTTAGCACCAGCGTATTTGTTTTTTCTTATTAACATTTTGGTTATACTCATATATCTATGTATAAAGACATAAAATTACATCGCTTATTAATGTACCATATACCACGCGTTAAAATGTCCTTGAATTAATAAATGTTTCACTGCTAACGATGGTGCACTAGCTAGTTCCAGTTTGTTCTTTGGGTGTCTCAAACTGAAGTACCGGAAAAAAGTGGAACCGAACAAAATAAGGACCTTTAGATTTGACTTCAAATTGGCTCTTTGCATGACTTGATCACGTGACTAACTTTCCGTAAACACAAAAACAGTTCACTTTTGAAGAAAAACAACTTTTGCCACCCAGTTACGCTTGCATGGTTTTCCATACAAATCCTTATAAATTCTAAAATTTTTAAACGGTCATTAAATCTTTCCTTTACGCATTTCAGGGCTCAAATTGCTTTTATGAATTAAAGGAAATTTGAGCCCTGTAATGCTTAAGGAAATATTTTATGACAGTTTTGAAAATTTCGAAATTACAAGGATTTGTATGAAAAACCATGCAAGCGTGACTGGATGGCAAAAGTTGTTTTTCTCATACAAGTGCTTCCAACTTTCGGCGGCCGTTGCAATCGCTACTTTTGAGATGTACTGCTGAAAATGCTCAGGTTAGCTAATCTTATATGCTCTTTCAGCTTGTGCTAACAAAATTTTTCAAAAGTGAACTGTTTTTGTGTTTACCGAAAGTTGGTCACGTGACCAAGTCATGCAAAGAGCCTATTGGAGCTTGCGTACGAGTTGTGTACGAGTGGGAGTATCATCACAGTTCGTGTGGTTATAAGAGAGCCTAAGCAAAGGCTAAGCCTAAGCGACGCCGTTAATGGAAGAGAGATTTTCTTCAGACATCCCTTCAAGTCGCACACTTTCGTGAGTATGCGACTCGATGGGGTATCTGAAATTCAGGCTCCTTACTTAGACGATTTTCCCGAAAATTTGGGCAATACCACTGTCCAAGAATACAAGAAATCCATTTCCTTGCAACGTACGTTGCTCAATCGTAAAGGCGATGGCCACGAGAACGTTAAAAAAGCTTGAAAACAGGTTTACATTTCTTTGCCGTCACTGTAGGACTATCACGTGAATGCGAAGTCCTTTTCAGTGACGATTTCGCTGCCGTCGCCGTCGTCATTGCTAAAGCTCCCCGCAGGTAAAGGCAGAATTATGGAGCGATGCGCGAGTTATTACTCCACTAAGCGTGATATTTATCAAGTCCGCAAGACTGCCACAGCATGGTTTTCGGATTCACCTTTGCGCGCAGTTGTTCATCTGATCCCATTTTACTCGATGGCACTTTTAAATAATGATAGCTACCAATTCGTTCACGGAAACCTGAGTTTGGAGTTGGCGTATTCGCTTTTCCAGTACGTGACAATCGTTTATTATTATTATAATCATATCTCTTTGAAACTGGCCTCTGTCTGCAACGAACCATGTCAATAAGTTTTTGATAGGGACCGGTTCCTTTTTTTTTATCCCAGAAATTATATCCCCGAAAGAGAAAACGATATTTTATCACTTCTTCTCAAAAGCTTAATTAAGTTAAGTGGTCATCTTGAACTCAAACTTATCCAAGAACCCGTAATTTTTCTGACAAGCCACCTTGACCACCTTGCATTGAGGTAGACTGGTGACCACACCAATTGCACCACATACTCTTGCATTGCACCACGGGAAGGCCTTTTCAGCATGGCCGACGAACAGTAAGAGCGAAAATTGCAAGTCGACAGAAAGAGACATCGATATTTTACGACTTACTTTATCGCAGTAAAGTTCCTGTGATATATATAACTACATACAGCCATGGTGAGTACTAGAAAGTTGTAGAGTGTAGATTTCCTGCGTGCAATTCTCAGTATAGTCAATACATGTACACTGTAGAAGCTTGCTTTTTCAAAAACTAATTCTTCTCATGATCACTTCAGCAAACTAAGCTTATTTTGGATGTGCTAAAAAAGATTTACTAACATTATGATTGATCTTGATTTTATTCAGCCTCAGAACGAATATGTAGAACAGTCACGCAAACGTCGTGGATACAGACTCGATCATTTCGAAAAAAAGTGAGTTGGTAATTAATTTCTATTTTTATTTCTCTCGACTGTTGTGAAATTATGATCATACAGTCGAGGTCCTACTCGCAGTCAGTGGTTTTGCCGTTGAATTCTTGCGTTTAATAACCTTAATGGATCTTGTAATCAAAGGCTCACATATAATCGAAGATGGAGAAGATTTGTATGTGAAATCATCCTGCTTTCAATATGAATTTAGCAAGTTTATCTAGCCAGAAACTTGTAAACAACAAAACTACGTTGTATTTCAATATGTTTTATTTTGCTCCACAAAATACCTTTAAAATTTATTGTAAGTAACAGTACAGTACAGTACAGTTAAAATCCTCCAGACCTTATACCTGTTACCATGGAGTTGCACTGGTGACTACGTGGTCGATAAGTGCAGCAAAACCACTCTTATCTTGTGTAGACCTCTTTGCCTGCTCAATGGAGACATTAATTTGAATGATTTAGCAATTATTTGTCCAAGGGTCCCGTTTGTATGGATCATGCCTAGACTTCGCAAACATCATCTTCTTTGTCAGCATAGTGTTTGGACAGCGGCAAACATCACCAGTATATTTTAAATATTGGCTCCTGGTCACATTCTCAGACTTTTGTTTTTTGTTATAAGTAGAATGTCTGTGTTGGAGGATCCGAGTCTGAGTAAATGTTCATCTTGGTAACAGACTAAATGTTTGTTTTTAGGCGTAAAAAGGAAAGCCGTGAGCCACATACTCATGCCAAGTATGCCCACAAACTCCATGGCCTTAGGTATGTTGAAGCGAATTAGGTTTGTTTTCCTTATAGTCAATTCACCCAACAGTATTCTGCCCGAACTTAAGATGATTAGCTTGGAGACATACAACACTCCACGACACACAGGAAAGTGGACTGAAACCACACCATTCACTTGATCGAGACCATGGTGGGAGCAGTGAGAGAAATTGGTTCAAGGTGGAATTCTGAAATAAATCCCACCAAAGAAGAGATAACTGCAGAATACCTTGCTGCAAATAGAAGTTACTGTTATACTATCTTATGCAAATAAAAGAGGTTTCTGTGTTCCTGATCGCACAAAATGAACTGTTATGGATTAATCAGTTTGCATTATGTACAGTCAGTTCCAATACATGTCTTCTCCAGTTTAGATACATGAAGGACAGGGAGAAAAGTCTAAGCTAAGCACAGCTACCTTATTTTCAGAAAGTAGTGATTTGATAGCCTTTTTAACCTCCTTATTTATGTAGTATTTAATGGAAGTTGACTTGTTTATATTATTAAATTTTTCTGTACAGGGCGAAACTTTACAACAGAAAGCGCCGTCTAGAGAAAATACAGATGAAAAAGACGTAAGTTGTCCAGTTTAACAAGCTCAATCTTTATTTACCCAATTAAGTCTGAATTAATTTTAATTAACTATTAATTTATTACTTTAAATTTACAATCAAAGAGATCAGAGCTTGCATGTTCTACATGTACACGTAAATCATAGTACAGTCAAACCCTGTTAATACCAGTCCTTCTGACAGGGTGCGGGTAAAAAATAAAAATTGTGCGCGATTTTGGGGGCAAATTGTGCGGGGAAAAACACCGATTGTGCGGGAATTGTGCGGGATTGCGCAATCTTTCGACCTACCAAATATTNCTTTAAAGGAATAGATATCGAATACACCACAAGAAACAAAGAACAACATGTACAGCTAAAATCGATCGTAAACCAGTGACCTTCGGAAGTCTTCAATCACGTGATGCAAATTTCCCGCCACAAGCAAGCGTCACGCTTACCGGAAATCTCGAGGAAATCGCCATGGTGTCACGAATACCCGACTATTGACATCTATTAAAGCTCTTCAAGATCGCTTGACACTTCTTAATCGACATATAATAGTTCGGATATGATCGGTTCTTTTGTCAAAAATGTCAGACTGCTGATCATTTAGTGTTTTGAAAACCTTGATCGGTAGTCGATCTCAAAAAGATTCTAAGTGTCATAAACCATGGTTTTGTATTCTGAGCCCAGCGTAAACCAAGCATTATACTTGAGATCTACAAAGCTCTTCAGGATCGCTTGGCGCTTCTTAATCGACATATGATAGTTTAGATATGATTGGTTAATTGCATTCTTCAGATTTATCAAAAATGTTGGAATGCTGGTCATTTGAAAACCTTGACCGCTGCCAGTCATTTAGCCACAGCGTTTTGACAAACAAGTGAACATGTCGAGATCGATAGAAAATTTATTTTAATTTCGAAGTAGAGCCATGTGGCGCAATTTATCATATACCGGTAAACAACTCTGATTTATTATTTGTAAAACAATTGCCACAAATAGGATAAGAAGAACCCCAGTATCCCACGGAGCGCTGCATGACGACACAATACTCGATGTGTACGTGACTAGTGCCCAGGACAGCGCGAGCTATGGAAAGCGCCTTGTTGTTTTTATAAGCGCCCGAGCTGTTCGAGGAAAAAGCTATGGATTTTTCGTTTGTTTTGGAAGGTAAATAGCCTAAAAGTTTTCTAGAAATCTTGGAAATCAATAGGAATACCTGATTTAATTTAAATTTTCAGGAAATTTTTCAGTATTGTGCGGGATTTTGCCGATTGTGCGTGATTGTGCGGGTTAGACCGAATTGTGCGGTCCCGCACCCGCGCACCCTGTCAGAAGGCCTGTAATACGGATACTAGAGACCAAATTTGATCTCAGGTTAATTTTGATTAAACCGATGTTGATTCGCAATAATATTTCCTTTGTCTCCTTGCCCTACATGTAGAAAACAATGGAAATTAAGAATTAACCTAAATGTAGATTGAAAAATTTTAACCTGAAATAAAATTTGATTTGTAATATCGTCATTGAGGGAGCTATAGAGAGTGTCCATATAATTTACGAGGTGTCTGCGTTATCTGGTGAGTCGAGAATATACCTTTTATTTGAACACAATACCAAAAAAAAAAACGGAACATTAGCATCATGAAAATCAACACTTCTAGCCTTCACAAAGTTGTCATTGCATGGAAACACCCAAAAGTAGCTTATTTGTACATTACCTAATCAATATTGTTTTCTGCATACAGTAACTTCCTTTGATGCCAAAGCACATGTAGTCTGAAAAATGACATCTACAATTCATCCTATCTGGTGTATTGTATCACTAATAACATCAACATGCTGACACCTGAAGTTTTTACCTTCAGAAAGGAAAAGCTTATTGCAGCGCACAATTAACAATTAAGTGTCTGCATAAGCAAGGTTCACTTTCTATGAGAATCTGTTGATTAGGCAATAAAAAAGGGTCCAGTTTCAACATTAATGGGTGTCCATATTAAGGTGATATTTGGTTAATTTCTCTCAGAGTCAGATTTTTTCCTTCAACCTTTAAACCCTAATACACAATGTATCAGAATTCAGTTTCTGATGTGTCACCCCAATACATTTCCTGCAGTACTCAAAGAACATTTTTTTTAGTGGGGAAAAAAATGAAATAGAAGTATCAATAAAATTTATCTCTGTAGCCATATCCTCATGAAATTCAATATCACCAGTCTGTTTATAAAACCTGGACATAATAAGGAGAATTTTAGTGTTGATTACTCTTGAATTAATCAGTGTTGCACCTTACTGTAAACTAACCTCCTTGTTCTTCAATTCTGGCCTGTTAGAATTAATTTTGGCTGGTGAAAGTTTACATGCACTCTACCACAAACTGCTAGTTGATAGTATTAGTACATGTACATGTATAAACAACAACAACAACAATCTATTTATTTAAAGAAATATAAAGCGGGTATAGTAATTTGGAAAGTTAGTTTTGAGTATTGAGAATACTAAGCTAACATCATCATTATCATCTCAATGTGCCACAGTCTAAGAATGCATGAAGAGCGCCAAACAAAAACAAAGGACAGCCAAAATGTGCCAGAAGGAGCTGTGCCTGCATATTTGTTGGACCGAGAGGGACAGTCCCGGGCTAAAGTGCTCAGCAATATGGTTAAACAGAAGAGAAAAGAAAAAGCTGTAAGTACTGTACACTGTATTTTAAAAAAACCAGTAACAAGTCAAGTTAAACATGTGTTGCTTAGGCCTGGTTCAGATGCCCCTCCACTCATGTGCTGAACCTAACTAAATAAGGTCCAACTTTGGAGCAACAATGGCATGGCAACTGATCCAGATGGCATACCTTGTGTCAATGCCAACCTTTATTTCATGTATGGAGAAAGAGAAAGGCCTGGTTCTTCTTGCTTCTGTAGATCTCTATTTTTGCCAGTTTCATTTGAATCATTTCGTTCAACCTTTTTGTGCTCTTCCATGGATAACTTCTCAGAAACCTGGCTCACAATAATTATGCGACTGAACTGCCCACTCCAGCCCTAAACAGTTTCATCATTCTCAAAGACAGAACAAGGCATACAATAGTATTCCTGGCATCATAAACTGTCTTATTTTGTATTCTTAAAGCAAGAAGAGCAAGATTGTTCTTCTTTACCCACCATTTCAGTGCTCAAANATCATCATTATCATCTCAATGTGCCACAGTCTAAGAATGCATGAAGAGCGCCAAACAAAAACAAAGGACAGCCAAAATGTGCCAGAAGGAGCTGTGCCTGCATATTTGTTGGACCGAGAGGGACAGTCCCGGGCTAAAGTGCTCAGCAATATGGTTAAACAGAAGAGAAAAGAAAAAGCTGTAAGTACTGTACACTGTATTTTAAAAAAACCAGTAACAAGTCAAGTTAAACATGTGTTGCTTAGGCCTGGTTCAGATGCCCCTCCACTCATGTGCTGAACCTAACTAAATAAGGTCCAACTTTGGAGCAACAATGGCATGGCAACTGATCCAGATGGCATACCTTGTGTCAATGCCAACCTTTATTTCATGTATGGAGAAAGAGAAAGGCCTGGTTCTTCTTGCTTCTGTAGATCTCTATTTTTGCCAGTTTCATTTGAATCATTTCGTTCAACCTTTTTGTGCTCTTCCATGGATAACTTCTCAGAAACCTGGCTCACAATAATTATGCGACTGAACTGCCCACTCCAGCCCTAAACAGTTTCATCATTCTCAAAGACAGAACAAGGCATACAATAGTATTCCTGGCATCATAAACTGTCTTATTTTGTATTCTTAAAGCAAGAAGAGCAAGATTGTTCTTCTTTACCCACCATTTCAGTGCTCAAAGCACAATGCTTTTCAAAGTCACCTTTTGGTGACCTAAAATTATAAAATGGTTGCCAGACATAAAATATTGGTCACCATTGAAAAAAACACGCATGGTGTAATTTTACATGATTGGTTATACTGAAGACCACGTCGATTACCAGTACTTCATTTTTACGTGTTTCGCATGAAGCTGTCTGAGTATGTCTATCCTCAAGTAGGCTGCTGAAGTATATTTTTGAAACAGTTTCTTTCCATAGAATAAAATAGCAATTCATATTTTTGCCAAGTTTCAGTAGCTTTTTCTGCAGCAAATGGATCTCTAGCAGCAAAAAGAACCTTCAAATTAATTTTCTCAAAACATTGTCTACCTGGCACATCATTGTAAACTCCATTGAATGATGAAATAAAAGAAAGGCTGTACTTTTACTTTAATGCAGTGCCTATTACCGGTAATTTGAGACACGTGTAAACCCATTTAGTGCAGTACCCTGGCTGGCACGAAATGTTTGTCTGATCTTGATGACAGCTACTAAAAAAACTCAAATCTACAATAATGCAGTTTCCAGTGTTACTTAAATATTTGAGTATGGTACATGTACACTTACATGTAGGATGAAAGCTTGAAACTCTGATAATTTTACTTAATTCACAAAGCCTGGATGTTGCCTGTAAGAACAGACACATTTTACCGACTTTGTTTTTCACCAGAGCACATGCAATGAATACTTTTTCTCACAGGAAATCTGTTTTCATGTAATACTTATTTGTCAAACAAATTTTTAACCATGTGATTTGATTATAGCCCTTGATTCTTATTGCTTTTACCTTGCTTGACAACTGAAGTGCTGTTGCAAAACCCAGAGAGCACTTAAAAACAGTTTCTTCGAACAAGATACAAGATACCCCCATTTTTGTTGTCATCTGTCCAGTTGCCAATTGTCTTATCAAAATGACTGTGCCAACTACCATGCCTATAGTGTACATCACAAATTTCACTAGGGTGAAAAGATGAATATTGTCTTCAATACAGAGCATAAACTAATATTTCTTGTAAATGTTTATCTCAATTTAACTTTAGAAAGACCATGGACACTACATTATAGCGAAAAGGAATTTAGTACACCTTGGCACATGACCACCGAACACAGGTCGCCAAATCGGTGACTTTCGCTGCACGTTTAGTCCCCAATTTTTTTCACTTGCCATGGCAACCAAAATGGTAGCAAGGATGGAGTACCATATTTTCCTCAATTTAGCGTTCTACGTATGGCAACTATGTAAAAAATGACAAGATTGTGGGAAAAAATTATAAGTTTAATGATTGCACAATGTTTGCACAGTGAATGAATCACTTGCCACTCCAATGTCGAATAATGCATTAGACTCTGTCAAGTTTGGCGCTTTTGCCATACCAAGTTACAAGTTACCAAATTGATTGAGATGCTGTGCTTTTGCCATATTTAATTTATCACGTAGGTTAGGCACATGAGTGGAGTGGCATCTTTTTGTACACATTTGTTAGGTGTATCATAATCCCACAAACTTCCTTTATCTTTTTCCTTCTTGCACAATAGATTACAGTTACAACTGTGTTATATAAAGCCAGTGTATATATAAAGCCAAATTTTTGGGAATTAATATTATTATGCTTTTTGACAGCTGCATTTCACTAAGTTAAAAAAATTGTACTGATGTTTATTCTTCTTCTCTTTTTTTGTTAGGGAAAATGGGATGTCCCTCTTCCTAAAGTAAAAGCTGTAGGAGAAGATGAGGTTTTCAAAGTTATAAAAACTGGAAAGTCTAAAAGTAAATTTCAACCCATTTATCATGTTTAGTATTATTATTATTAATAATATTTTGCTTCTTTAATGTGGATTATTTTAATTGTTGTAAATATTTATTTTAATTTAAATTAATTGAAGCAACTCATCTCTTTCTTTTCCAACTAAGTCCTCTAAAATAATAACCT